AAGGATGCTCAGTCATAATGAATAAAGAAAATGTGGTACATGTACACAATGGAATAGTACTTAACTATTAAAAACACTGGCATCACGACATTTGAAGGCTAATGGATGGATATATATATATATATATATATATATATATATATATATATATATATAATTATCCTGAGTGAGGTAACCTAGACCCAGAAAGTCAAGTGGCATATACTCATAAGTGGACAGTAGCTCTAACGTGAAGGGTATTCTTTGGCATGTACTCACTTATAAGTGGATAATAGCTCTTAGGTAAAGGACAATCATTATTATATTCACTTATATGAGGACATTATCCCTAAAGAAAATTTTTGTTGCCCTCCACAGACTGACAGAGGTTAGGTAACAAGGAAGGCCACAGGGAGATACTTGAATCTCCCTGGGAAGACGGAAATGGAAGAGATTTCTAATGAGTCTTATTGGTCTTTTTAATAGGATCATATCATTTGCAAATAGAGATATTCATTTTCTTCTTTTTCCATTTGTGTGTGTGTGTGTGTGTGTGTGTGTTTGTATTTATTACCACATCACCTTCTATCTGCTAGCAGTTGAATTATTTTATTTTTATTGAAAATAGTTGCTTCTCTCATACCATGATCATATTTTCTACTCCCTCCACTCTTCCCAGCTTCACCCCAAATCTTTTCTCTCCCAGATCCACTTCTCTTCTTTTCTTCTTCAGAAAAGAGTAGGTCTCCAAGAGAACAACAGCAAAATAGTACAAAATGAGATCTGATAAGACAAGGCAAAAGCCTTCATATCAAGGGTGGATTCATCTTGTTTTACATTTGGAAGATTATAAGAATTAAGAAATGTATATATTATTTTAATTTTATTTAAACACAAGTTTCCAATTATTCCCTAGAAACCTCTGAATTTCATCAACTTATATTATACTATTTCAATTTTCATCTCTAATTTTAATAACTTTGTTTTCTCTTGCATTTTTAGCTAGTTTTGTTAAGGATTTGTCAATTATATTATGTAGACAATTCTTTGAATTGACTCTTTGCATTTTCTTTTTTCCTATTTAATCATTCTCTGTAATATCAATTATATTCAGAAAAGTAAAATGAAGGAGGTGCAGATAGACTCTATATATCAAACCAAACTGCAACTCCATTGAACTATTATTTATCTAAAAATTGATTTTCTAATTGATTATTTATAAATTATACATACTTGATAACATGATATATTCATTTTCAAGATTCAAAAAAAATACTAGTAAGTAAGAGTTTTAGGGTTTTGAAATAATTATACAAAAACAGAAAAAATCACATACAGGAGTTTCATATTCTTTAAACTAATATTGTTCAAGATTAGAATTCAAAATTAGAATTTTTAAGACCCTGAGGTCTTTATGACATCTGCTTATGAAATATTTTAGTGTTGTGATTTATTTTTAATATATGATATTATTTGTGGCATTTTGGATTTTTTTTCTCGAGACAGGGTTTCTCTGCATTGCTTTGGAACCTGTCCTGGGACTAGCTCTCTAGACAAGGCTGGCCTTGAACTCACAGAAATTCACCTGCCTCTGAATCCCAAGTGAAGGGATGTGCCACCAACTTCTGGCACATTTTGGATTTTTTTCTTTCTTTCTTTCTTTCTTTCTTTCTTTCTTTCTTTTTTTTGTTTTTGTTTTTGGTATTTTTGTTTTTTTGTTTTAAGAGTTTAGAATTATTAATTTTTATTAAAATTGATCTACAGACTGGAGTATGTAGGTGTTCACTCCATCACCAAGCTGACGACTCAAGCCTAAATTACATAATTAAAACTGTGTCTAGAGATCTAATATTATCTGGTAGTCTCAATAAAATAAAATCACATTTACATAGTTGTGTTGCCATCTTGTTGATGTGGCTAAAACAAATTCAATAGCAATATTTATGATGGTGGATAAGTTAGTTGTTCTCATTATCAATGAAGGGCATTTTTGGAAACCTTTCCACTGTTGCTCAAATTGTTAGTTGAGGTCAGTCTTGGAGGTCTCTGGACATTTCTCTAGATTCAGTTTTATCACCAAATCTATAATGGCTCCTTCTATTATGCTCTCTCCTCTCTCTCTCTCTCTCTCTCTCTCTCTCTCTCTCTCTCTCTCTCTCTCTCTCTCCTCTTCTCTTATCTGTTCCTACCCTGGCTCAATCTTCCTAGTCCCAAGTGCTTCTCCCCTTCTCTATCTCCTAGCTCCCTCTCCACTCACTGTCCCCCCCCCCAATATGCTTAGGAGATCGTGTCCTTTTCACCTCTGTGAGGGACCATATATGAATTGCTTAAAATCCTCCTAGTTTCCTAGTTTCTCTGGTGGTGTGATTTATATGATGGTGGTCATTTGCTCTATGTCTGAAATCCATATATAAGTGAATACATACCTTGTTCCTCTTTTTATGACTTGGTTACTTCACTGAGGATGCTTTCTTCAATTTCCATCCATTTTTCTGCAGATTTCAAGATTCTCTCTCTTTTTTTTTTTTTTTTTTTTTTCTGCAGTCATGGGGGTCAAAGATCCAGCATTCAGTGACTCAGGATGGTCCCGTGATGATAGGCGGATCTCTGGCCTGGGTCTGGAGCTCCAACAGAGGACCGGCGGTGGGGGTCAGAGACATTTGGATTGTTTTAAACTATATAGTTGCTAAGTAAAATTTCCTGGGAATAGATCAATAGTATTTTTCACCACAGATTTGTCGTTGATAACAAATATTAGAAATAAACAATTCAATTCATGCATATTTTGATGGCTCAAAAGAAATAGTATGTGGTTAATGGGTATCTTGAAATCATAACCAGAAGCCTTATATGAGAACTGATATGGTTCACAAAGCTACTTCCCTGGTGATATCTGATGAATGTCTAGGCAGCTCCCTCTGAAGAGTTTCATCTTTTCCAGGAATTTCTACTAGTTATACAACCTCATCAAATTCCCTGAGATGACTAAGCCTATTAGGTTCCATTGTATTCCTCAGTATCCTTCTATGTGTGATGTCTATATCTTATGAGTTGAATTAACTTCTTGAGAATTAAGGGTCAGTATCTGCTATCCAGAGTCGGCATTTTTGCCATGGAGTTCATTATGTGCAGACATATTACACCAAAGGGGCTGCTGTGCTGTGTAAAAGTGAGGACTTTGAAAATATGGTAATGTTTAAGCTTTTCCTAGTTGGAGAAAGAAAAATTGAGAGGAAGAAGTGATAGAGGAGAAGGAGGAGAGGAGAAGTGTGTACATAGACAAGGAGAAGTACAAAATTTTCAAAGAGGAAGTGTAAAACATATGGGAAAGTTTTTCTTTTCCATTTATTTATTTATTTATTTATTTATTTATTTATTTATTTATTGAGACAGGGTTCCTCTATACTGCTTTGGAGGCTGTCCTGGAATGAGCTATGTAGACCAGGCTGGCCTGGAACTCACACATATCTACCTGCTTCTGCCTCCCAAGTGCTGGGTTTGGAAGTGTGTGCCACCAACACCCAGCTGGCAATATATATATTTAAGTGTTACATGCATACATTCTTTAGATAAATATCAACACTGTGACTGGATTTCTTAATGGTCAGAGCTTGGTTATGAAAGCTCCAGTAAATCAGTTTCAACCATAGTCCCCTTATAAGTCAAGAAACCACATTAAGTAAAAGAAATAAGTGATGGTGAGAACACTAACAGAAGGTTTATTAAATATAGTTACATTGGAAGAATGAGAAGAGATGCAGTAACATAGCTCCAAATCCTCCTTCAGAATATTATCATGATGTGTAGATTTTAATAGTATGCCAAATCAAAAGTCATGTTTAGTTGTGGTCTCACCCATCATTGATGAGTCATTCTGTTGTCTCCAGCATCCCCAGGGAGCAGGTGTGACAATTGCTAAATCCCTTTCTAGAAGACAACCTCTCCCCCCAATTCCCGAAGAATCGTCAGCCTCTAGTTTCTGCCAGCATGAGACTCCTGTAGGAGATTCTTATTCATTGGGGGTGCTTTCTTTTAATATTCTGATAGAGGAAGAAAGGAGCAGGAGTGTCTCTGCATAGTATTGTTGTGCTTAGATGAACAATTACAACCATTATCACTAAAAAGCAATTGGCTTGCTGTGTGACTTTGTACGTGGGTTTTCTTTTTCTTCAGAAAGATGATTTAAATGAATTGCAATCTGTATAGCTAACATTATCTTTTTCATCAAAGACATTGTTCAGTCAAGTGTAAAGGAAACCATACCAAAGGAAAAGACATTTACAAAACACATCAGATAAACAACTTATTTCCACAAATTTCAAAATGAATAACACCAGGAAAAATCCAATAGAGAAATGGACAAATATCCTATAGCAGTGCTAATCACACAGAATAATAAAATGTCTAATAATCTGTGAAAAGTCACTCAGATGTCTTGGTTTGAAAAAGAATATCTTAAAGCCACTTAAATAACAACATGGCTTGAATGACATTGCTGGAGGAAACTGATAAAAATAATCTCCAGGTGAGCATACATAGACAATATGCAATATACTTTACTTTACTTACAGCCATAGTGAAATTGAAGGCATTGAATTTGAGTAGGCAGAGGTGGAGAGGATCTGAGAGGAGTTGGGGGAGGGAATACATAAATACAATATATTTAAAAAATACTAATAATCAATTCATCTATTTAACAAATATCTTAAATTTATGTTCAAATTAACACTTGCTTCAATGTTTTAAACACTAAACATTAAGATTACTCATAGAAGTGGACATCAAAGAATGTCTCATCTCAACACATATATGCATCGCTAAACAATTTTAAGGCAAATTGCTGCTTAATAAATGTGAATGTATAGATATTGTCAAAGTAATTCCCAATTGTCTAAATACTTTATAAGATACTTAGAATGAATGAAAATTAAAATCCTGTCCTTCTGTATTAATGCAATAAACATATTTATGGATACAATTAGGGAAATTGTTTGTATGTGTGTGTGCATGCACATATGTGTCTAGACTGAATCAGATACCAGTTTCATGTGAATCAATTTCTTGATGGTGTCTTTCACATCCTTATTTCTTAGGCTATAAATAAGGGGATTGAGCATGGGGATGACCATGCTGTAGAACACAGTGACTGTCTTAACCAGAAGTAGTGAACTCTTAGACTTGAGTACACAATAAAGAAGGAGAATGACACCATGGCAGAAGGAGATGGCAGTCAGGTGGGGGGCACAGGTGGAGAAGGCTTTTTGGAGCGCTCCTTTAGTAGGAATTGTGATGACAGTGACAAAGATGACAACATAGGACACAATGATGATCAGGAGGCTGAAAGCCTCATTGAATGTGCATATTATTAGGCATGCCAACTGGCTAATTGTAGTATCAGAACAGGATATAGAGAGAATGGCAGAGTGCTCACAACAGAAGTGATTTATAATGTTAGGGCCACAGTAAGAGTGTTGTGAAAGAAAATGTGTGAGAGTGGCAGAACAAAATCCACCCCATAGATAACTTCCACTCACCAGGAGAGCACAGAGTTTAGGAGACATGGAAGTTGTATAGAGCAGAGGGTTACAAACAGCCACAAACCTGTCATAGGCCATCACTGCCAGCATAAATGTTTGTGCTACCACAAAGGTACATCCAAAGAAAAACTGTGTTAGGCATCCTTCCTTAGAGATTGTCTTGTCTTCTGTAAGCATGTTTTCTAGGAGCTTCGGGGTATTTACACATGCATAACAAAAGTCAACAAAGGATAGATGGCTGACAAAAAAGTACATGGGATTGTGGAGTTTGGGGTTAATCCTAATGATTAAAATCAGACCCAGGTTTTCTAACACAGAAATGGTGTACATGGTCAAGAACACCAGAAACAGAGGCATCTGTAGGCTTGGATATTCTGGGAAGCCCAACAAGATAAAAATCACTCTGGTACTATGGTTTCTCTCATCTTGCACCTGACTCCTGTTGGAAGAAATCAAAGAGTTCATTCTGAGCAGCTGTTTAGTGTCAAGTGCGTGGCTACGAACAGATGAAGGTAAGCTGCCAAGATCAGTCTGTTCAATGTCTGGTAACAAGTGAATATTTTTGTTCTCAGGTTTGGTACCTCTTTTTGTGTGTGTGTGACTTGAATCTTTGTACACTTGCTGTTTGATCCTCTGTTCCTCCCATATACTTTAGGTATTCATTTCCTTATCTATAGAACAAGCAATGGAATTATTTCATTTGCAAATTATATACTTGCATTATATATGCATGGCAAAGCTAAACAAAAAACTTAACTTTGACTATTCCTAAATCTCTCCAAAGTACTTATGATATAATACAAATGTTTAAATAAGGTCAAACAATAATAGAAAAAATGGGGTGAACACAGAAGTTAATAGCAACAGAATATATTATACCAATTATCATGAAAGTGGGAACATTGAGTGATTACTGTAGTTAAATACTAAACTACTATACTCACAAGTACATAAAATTCTCCATATGGACAGCCCACACAAATCCTCACATTTTTCTAATAAAATTTATTTAGTTTTTTTTTTATTAATTTTCTTACTGTTGTGCCATCTGGAAAGAATCCTAAAATAGAATATCAGATATTTTGCTAACTTTTTAAAATTTTACTATCTTATTTGTATTGATAAAGCACATTTAAATCTTTGCATTCTTCTGTGTTTTTATCTACTTTCCTGTCAATATGTAAATACATCTTATACATGACTGTATAATTATTATCATCAGTGATTATGAACCATAAAATTATACAAACATTAAGTAGACTGTTTTGTAATGACAACAATTTATCATGATGGTAATAGTCCTTGAAGGATATTATATTATTATATGAAAACACGTAAGGCTTTCTGAGCTTCAGATATTCATGTGAACTCATAAAATAGGAATAATTTTACCACATTTAATTTGAACTTACAGGCTTCATTGAAATCCAAATCAGGTTTGAATGTCAACTGAAATACTTAACACTATATAAATTATTTATAGGTTAAAATAATTATGTAACAGAGAACATTTCTGAGGCTCTTCCTGGGGATTTGTTCCAGGCCAATAGCAAGGTCAGTGGTTGGAGCTCATATGTAAATATCTGGTATCATACCCAGAGATGAACAGCAGAATTTAAAGGGCTTCAATTGGGAAATGTTCTAGATTATGATATATAAAATACTATTATTACACAGACAGCTAAAACAATATGTCAAAACAACAGATGAAGTTTGTCTTGAGTTTCTTTAAAGCTGAGGATATAGTAGGATTTTACACATCTGTAGCAGATGAGTAGCTAAGAACAGCTGCACTGTGACCCTTGAATTTATTTTGTTTTGTTTTGATTTCTTCTATGTGCCTTATTTGCTGTTTTTCATTCTGACATTATAACTATTATTTCATTATTGGCTATCCAGTGGAGTGTTGTCAGCTCTGAAAACACACAGACACACAAAAAAGAGACTGAGTAAATTGTGTTTATGTATTTGTGTACACACACACACACACACACACACACACACACAAAATTCTGGCTCCAAGAAACACAGATTAGGATCAAATAATAGATTTTAAAATGCAGACCTGCCTTTTTTTCCTACTTGACAACACTTCACAGCCAGGGAACAGTAGATACCAACATGAGGTATGCATGAAGATTCATCAACTGTCTTTAAAGTGATCTTGGCACAGTGTGTGCACATCTATAATATTACTTTTAAAATAATTGAGAATATAATTTAATTGCCACATTTATCTCTTTCTCCCTTCAAATCCTCCCATGACTTTTAAACAAAACACCTATACTTTAAAGTAGACTGACCACTCTAGTTACTGTATCTATGAATCCACTCTACTGTTAGTCTGTCTTTCAAGTGACACAAGAATCTCTCTCCTAGGCAACAAGCATTTCCTGTCATCTTTCTGTCTCTCACACCTGTAGTTATGAGTTTCTTTTCTGTCAGATATGAACAAAGTCAATTTTCTATCTAATCCCAAACCAATCTTTTTGGAAACATCAGGGATTAAGGCAGATATCAATAATAAACTGCTGTCAATTGCTTCCAATACATCTTAGAAAACTCCATATGGAAAAATCACATTAAATTTCTATATTGGTGGAGACATTAACAAAGTATTTCCTAAATTTATTCAGAAATTCAGAATTAAAAATATTACTTTCCTAATATAATTATGTTTATAAATTTATTCAGAATTTCAGAATTAAATAATGTTATTTTCCTAATATAATTATTTGTTACTATTAAAGTAATAAATGAGGTTAGAATGCAAACTCAAATATTTTATGCTTTTAGAAATAATTTTTAATACCTTGTTTTATTTTCTACTTGGTTAGATGGATTCAACAGATGCTACTCTCATAACAATAATTCCATAACAAAAATGTAATATTTTCAAAACATCCACATAAAACAAAAGTACAATAATATATAATCTTTAACTAATAATTCACCAACCACTAGACAAACAAATTCACAGGATTACTTATTGATAGCTTTTTAATTCTATTAAGTAAATTATTAAATTATTACTGATATATATTGTTTGTTTGGTACTTTTATAACTTGCCAGGGAAAGTTTCTTGAATTTCTAATCCTCTAGAGGAAGCTAAGAAATTTTATTTCTTCCCATTATAAATCAAAGCCTTAGTCTGCTACTAAGTGTCTCTGAAGTAAATCAGACTCAGAGGACAAATTTAAGTGCCATGTTTTGTCTTTTACAACTAACTGCATTACCAGGAGGGAATACAACTCCTGGGTATTTGAGGTTTACATGTGAACTAAAAACAAGAGAATTAAACCATGTCTCATCATCCTAATTTAGATAATAATTACTTTTAAAATATTAAGTCATATGAGGAAATTCAACCCACTGATTATATGGCCTCAAGAAAATAAACTTTGTCAAGAAAAACCATCTAGGTATTGTTAGCATCTTCTTTTCATTACTGAGAGCATAATGTTTTTTTTTTTTTTAAATAAACTCAATAAATTGTGTAACTTTTTAAAATATAGGATTGGAGTTTATCCATTTGGTTTATTTTATAATTAACATGCTCATCCTCATCTTAAACCTGTGGAGTGACTTGATTTTTTTTTTTTTTTATTGAATTCCCTATTGTTCTCTTTTTCTTGCACTAGAAACTGACTTGGTTTCCCTAGGGAGAAACCACTGTTGTCTTTTTTCAATGAGCTTGTTTCTGTCAAATCCAAGTTTCTCAGTTGAATCCGTTATAGAGTAAATGAGGGGAGTTTAAAACTTTTACAGCTGACTAGGGAAAACACTGTTTTAGTAAACTGATGTTAAACTTAAAGTTTTTTATTTTGTTATCTAACTGGCTTACTTTCATTCATTAAAATGAAGGAAATTCAATATATTGCTGGAATCACTTTATATAAGGCTCTATTTAATTATTATAAGTGTTTACTTATAGGTACTGACTGCACAATTGAGGGCCCATTTCTTCATAAATCTCAAATTTCCACTCTTATTTTTAAAATACAAATAGTGGTGTGGTGGTTTGAAAGAAAGTGGCCTCCAAATGGAGTGGTACTCTTAGGAGGCATGGCCTTGCTAGAGTAGATGTGGCTTTGTTGGAGGAAGTGTGCCACTATGGAAGTGGGCTTTAAGGTCTCCTATATGCCCAAGCCATGCCTAGTGAGGCAGTTCACTTTCTGTTGCTTCAAGATCAAGATATAAAATTCCCTAGCACCATCTCTGCCTATATACCGCCATACTCCATGCTCCTTTCCATGAAGGTAACTGACTAAATCTCTGAAAATGTAAGTTGAGAACTCAATTAAATGTTTTATTTTATTTGAGTGCCTTGGTCATGGTGTCTCTTCACAGAAATAGAAACCCTGAGAAATAATTTGTGACCAGGGACTGAGGTATTGCTCTGATAGGCCTAACCATGTTTTCAGTTTGGAAGGAAGTGAACTTAGGTACTTTTGGTTAGGAATGAAAAACAAGGCTTTACGTACTCTTTAAAATGAATAGTGGTAGAAGCAAGGAAGACAGTGGTGCTGAGAATGGCCTGAAATATGGGAGGCTGGCTTAAAATGTTTTAGAGGAGATTTTAGTATGTTGCCTACAATTCATTCTTGTGATATTTTGATGATGATATTTAGCTGTTATTTTGCCTTTGTTAAAAAGTTTGCCTGAAGCTAAAATGAATAATTTTAGATTAATTCCCTTGGTAGAGGAAATCTCAGAACAGCCTAGTATAGACTTTCTTGTGTGATTACTAGTGTAATCTCTAATGAAAATATATAATGAAAAGGACCAACTTACATAATAAAAAATATTTGAGGAGAAAAACAGCACCAAAAAGTTGAATAGAGTAAAATGCTACAGTAAAGGAGATAAATGAAATAAAGGGAATAGTAACAGCAGGACAAGCTAAATTTCCAACTTGTTAAAAGGAAGTATAGCTTAGAGATGGGTGATGGGAGATGCGATTCTGTAAATATGTTTCTCATACTGGTTTAATGAATAAAACACTGTTGGACAATAGGAAATGAAGATAGGAGGGACTAGGAGACAAGGAGGAAAGAGGAAAGAGTAAGGAGGGGTCAAGATGGAGAGTCTGGAGGTGGCAGAACCGCCAGCCGCCTCTTGCTGGTATGACCACGTGGAAATACATAGAAATGGGTTAATAATTAAGTCAGAGCTAGCTGATAAGAAACTAGTACCTGGCCAACAGTATAATATCAAATACAGAGTCTCTGTGTGTTAATTGGGGCTGGTGCGGTGGCGGGACCAGACCAGGCAGCGGGTGGAAAAACCCTACTCCTTACAGATGGGTGTGGTGGTGCAAGCTTTTAATCCCAGCACCCAGAAGGCAGAGACTGGTGGATTTCTTAGTTTGAGGCTAGCCTTATCTAGAGAGGAAGGTCTAGAACAGCCAAATTGGGCAATGAAGATAACCATCAAAACAGAAAGTTGGTAAAGATATATTTGA